TAACTACTCTACGGGAAGTTAAAAAAAACTATAAATATTGTAATCAACTTACTGTGGTTGTAATTAAAATCAAATTGTGCACATATGTTCCTATGAGGACCACAAGAGTAATCGATGGAATATAGATCGAAGGGCATATTGTGGGTCAGGATTGAATTTTTGGGTTTGACTAGACGGGATATAGATTTTTTATTTTGAATTTTGCCTGTTGGAGCTTTGTTTGGATTTTTTGCCTTGTTTTGAACGTTGATGTCTCGATTGTGCCTGTTCTCTGTATTTATTACTGTTCGTTTTGGACGTTTTATCATCTGATCTTTTATCTTAGAGAAATAACCCAAAATATGTCTTGGACTATTATCATTTTCCAATTTTTCTCCTTGTGCTTTATTGTTTGAAGATTTATCATCAGGAATTTGAACAGCTTCTGAAGATTTCAAACTACTTATTTTATTCTCAACAAAATTATTAATGTCGGATGTATCTTTGTCAATCATCATATAATCAGAACTTGAGTCTTTTGGATTTTTATCCAAGGCATCACCAGATATTTTATTTTTACCAATATATCGTTTGTCTTTATTTAAAAAATTGTTCACGACAGATTTATGGATATGACCAAAGTCTGCTATATGATTCTTTAGGTCTCTTGATGTTTTGTCCAAATCTTCGATTCTCCATCCAGGAACCCACATAAAATCTCCAAATCTCTTCCAAGCAAACCACTGCTTCCAAGCAAAATGTATTCTCTGGATAATAGTCCTTTGGATTCCAGAATTGCTTAAAATATAAGGAAATGTGCTACTATGTCCAAAAGGGTCGATTGACCAGCCTGTTGTTGGTGTAACATTCAAGTTGAGTTTTAACCATTGGTGACCTGGAGAAGGAAATAAGTTATGAATTGCTGGAAATAAATATGTGTTTTGTTGTGTTATTTACTGACCTTCTACAAGTTGGTTCCACATTGCAAACAAGTGCACATTGGCTTCATCAGTCACAACCCAACCACCGGTTGCTATTTCTATTCTTCCAGCTTCGACAAACTCTTTAAACGCCTGGAAAAATAAATAACAAAAATATGTTGTTACAAGATAGATTGCAAAAATGTATAAGAAGTTCGTGATCCACCGAGATGCTGCCGAACTCTATTATATACACTTGCATTTTATTTATATTTTGAAAGTACTAGATATATTTAGATAATGGCTATACCAGACCGATTAAAAGATGACAAGTAGTTTAATTGTTATATATTTAAATGAAATAATACGTGGAATTCAATCGGAAACAGGTGATTAGGATCCTTAGAAAAATGGATTAATGGTATGATGATAGATTTGGGGACAGGATGCATGACAATGAGAGGGATTATTTAATAGTTCTAAATCTACATATATATAAAAATAAGTCGGGTTTTCCTTTCCTGACGATATAACTCCAGAACGCACAAACCGATTTTGAAAATTTTGCATTCGTTGGAAAGGTCTCGGGCTCCGCAAGGTTTATAGCTAAGAAAATTAGTGGTGCATGGCTTCATGTCTTAATGCAAATTGCTGGAACTTCACGCGCCGTAATTAAAAATTCGAGTAATGACATTAGTGAGAATTATCAGAATTATACTTGGTTAAGTCAACGAGCAATTCTTGCCGCAAAGAATAATGATGTACACGTACTGAATTTCACCATTCAATCAAAAATTGCTGGCGATTTGGTGACATACCAATGATTCCGACTGTTCTTCCGTTCGACTTCAAACGATTGCAATTTCCAGTTTGCCTTGCGTTCGCAATAACAAGTCGCAAGGCCAATCGCTTAGTGTTTGCATGATAAATCTCAATTAGATTATTTAAAAAATCATTGTTTTTTACATGGACAGTTTTACATTACCTGTTCACGAGTTGGAAAACCATCCGCTTTATTTGTGTTAACGTCAGACCACAAAACAAAAAAATGTGGTTTACCAAAGAGCACTTCAATGAAACGGATAATTTGCGGATTCACTTTCATTTACTTAGAGAAGATCAATTAAAAAACACTTCATTTTTGTAATCGAAATAAATTCATTACTGTTGTGTAATATAATCAAATTTTTCCTTTTCAAAACAAAAAAATTCTTCATCTTTCTCACGAAACCATCTGGTGGCGAAACGGAGTTCGTCGGGTTTGCTAGTTATATAATAAGGGATGAGGGATTATTATTGCTATCCTGTCTGAAGGTAATATAATATAGAAGATAATAATAATATTATTCCATTAGACCAGAGTTGAGTAAGGCGTTAACAATTATTTTTCTTACCTTTTGTGTTGTAGGATGTGCTTGATCCCACCAAGCCTGCAAAAAACAAATTTCAGCCCAGACGAATGTCAATTTGCGATATTCGCTCATTTTTTTAACCAAGTTATTCAAAATATTTCTAGTTTTTGTCTCAAAGTACTGCTTGAACGTCAAAAGCCAGCCTGCATCATTATGCGAATGGGGAACCAAAATCACCTGGAGGAAAAAACAATCATATACTTCCGTTACTTTTTCTTATCTCTCGTCAACTTTTACCTTGAGATGCGGTTTTTTTGTATTTCCCTTTTCTTTATTATACCTGGTTTCAAATCTATCATCCCAAAATACCTTATTTTGGGTCCAATTAGGATGGAAGTAGAATCTCTGGTAAAGTGCAGACGTGTCAATGTCTGCCTGGTTTTGTACCATCACCATACTTTTTGGACATGCTTGGGATATGGAGGCATTTTGGTACAAACTAGAATTTAGGACAAAGTGTGATGATATGGAGGCATTTCGGTACGAACTAGAATTTAGGACAAAGGTTGATGAAAGTAGAGTATAATCGTGGTGATTGCGGTTTTGTTACCTTTGACCATTTGAAATTCTTATTTCTCCAAAGATTGTGGTTTGGAGTATCAAAGGTTCAAGATGTTGAAGATTCGAGGCTGCTTTCTCTTTTTTGACAACACTCAGGGAATAGAATGCCAGTAGGACGCATAGTAAAAAGGCACCTGGGACCAAAAAATAAATAAAAATATAATAATTTGCTGGTTGCTGGCAACCTGTACAAAGATGATCGGAAAAATATGTTTTATCTCACAATCAAAAGCAAAATTGTGATTAGATTTATTTTTATTAGACTTACAATTCATAAACACTTTGAGGCCATTTCTCAGTGTCAATTCCATGGTACACCAGGGATATTGAAAAAAAATTGTTATTATATTTCTATTTAATTTTTATCATTTTTATTCATTTGTCTAATGTCAAAAATATTTTTGTGGTGCAAAATAAATGTCATTAGTGATTTTAGAAAGAAGAAAAATTTTATATGAATATTCGAAGAAATCAGAAAAATTTTATATGAATGAGATTTAACCACTCTACATGTTAATAATTATTTTTAAATTAGTGGCAAATAGCTTAACAACATATAAAAAGTTGTAAGTAGCACTTTGCCTTATGGTAAGTTACATGAACTTCCTGACAGTGTAAATAATTGTCTTATCCAATAAGAAATTACTATATAAATTTATAATACACACACACTTTTTCCATACAGTGTCAAACGATTCAGAATGACTTGAAATATAGGGTTGAGCTTAAAAACTTTCCTTTGGAAAATTAAAAATAACTAGTGGTATATTAAGGCAATTTGCTGGAACTTTCGGTGCCGAATTAAAATTTTGAAATTTGAATTATTTTCGATATTCAAAAAAAATTGAAATTTAAAAAAAAACTTTCTAAAAACAATCGTTTCGTCCACACAAGTAGAAACTTTTTTGAATCGTTCAAATCGGATTCTTATTTCTCTCAAAAACTGTCATTTTTGGCACGATTAGCTCCATATCTCCAAAAAGGCTGGACCTGCCTTTGCCAAAAACTAATCACCACTTCTCTCCATCATTACGAATTGAATGTTTTTTAGATCATTCAAATCGGATGCTCCGTTCTCTCAGAAAGTCGATTTCCATTTTCTGCACTCTTTGCTCCGTATCTCCGTAACGGCTGGACCTGCCTTTGCCAAAAACTAATCAACACATCTCCCTATCAATAGGAATCGAATGTTTTTTGAATCATTCAAATCGGTTGATCCTTCCACCCAAAAACTACACACTATACGTCCTACTCACACACTGACGTAAATTTTTTCTAAGGAATGCCAAAATGTTCAGAAACCTCTGAAACGTGAAGAAATGCAAAAATTTTAAATTTCGATTTTTGGACGATTACAATAACTTACTCTACAGAAAGTTAAAAAAAAACATTTTATAGAAAAATCATTAGTTGATTTATTTGTTTCTAAAAATTCACAACGCAACTACAAAATATTTTACATAGTAATACTCATATATATATATATATATATATATATATATATATATATAATATTTTACATCAATAAAATAAATATAAATTTAATCTACAATAATTCTTATTACATTCCTTTCAACATCACAACTCGATCGATCAGTTCCTATCTAACAATATTCATATATACAATATTTTAAATCCTGTATTTAAATTAATATTATCTTTATCTTTATCTAAATTCAATTTCTTGTATTAATTACAATCTAAATAGATAATTTTATAAATCTTCTATCTACATTAAATTTTTGCATGTTAGCTGTCATGTGAAGGGCAAGATCTTCGTTAAAAGTACTTAATTTAATTAATTATATTTGACTGATAGAATGGACTTATATTCAATAATTTAAATCTAACCAGAATGAACAAAGACTTAAAAAATAATTATAATATTATAAATATTGCATAAAATCACATTTGATTAATATTTTAGACTTAATACTTAATTTAATTAGACTGCCATTTGTTAGTGTAGAATAATTCTTGAAATTTAAAAATAATTAAGGCTAAAATTTTGAGTTAAACATAAATGCTTAGTGTCATAAAAATAAAATGTAAATATATTATAAAATAAATTATATAAATAATTAGGTTTATCTCAGTTATATACAAATCTTTGAAAATCACTATTATCACGCTATATATAAATATTTTTTCTACTCTTCAAAATCTATCCTGTACATTGCCAAATCCATTTTCTCAACAAAAATATCTCCCAAGCTTTTAACAGCTTCCAAATCCTTAACACCAGTCAGACTGGTTTCTGTTACTTTCTTTATTTTAACATCAGTCAATGTAGTATCAGGATGCATTCTTGTATTGTGACAAGTGTCTAAAGGATTTGTACCACCTATTCGACAACTGTAACCCTGGATAATAAAAACAAGTCAGAACAGAAATTATACGGTTAATATCAGTATTATTGTTTTACCTGTCTGTGCAACATCAACAGAGCATTCGAACCAGGAAATTGATGATATGTTTCATCGCTTAGTATTCTCAGATTGATCAATCTCATGTCGCAAGGTAAAGGATGTGATATTAAAGGTACTCGACTTCTGTCCTGGTTTATTGTTGTGTACTCAGTTTTAGAGCTAGACTCATCCATTTTGTTGTTCATGTTGTAAGTAGCTGAAGTACAATGTTGGTTAAAATATGTACTACTTCATTGTAAATTAAAATACTTACAGCTTGCATTTGGTTCTTCGACAGAGTAGATGTTTAGAGGATAGTTCAAGGCATCTGCTAATCGTGTAGCTGCCAAACTTGGTAGTTGATATTCTTCATTTTGTTTATCAGAATTTACATCAGTAGATTTTTGCAGTAAATCTTTGGCAATGTCCAAACCTTCTCTGATGTTGGATGTATCTTTACTATTTTGCACACTGGAAACAAATTAACACTATTATATATAAACTAGTGCTGTATGGCATCGTGCCTTAAGACAAATTGCTGGAACTTCCCGTACCGTAACGAAATGTTCGAGGAATTTTAAACGTTTTCAAATATATTGTTACAAATTCTGTAACTTTCATTATTCGTTATTTTGGCTATCTTGTTATATCTAGTTGTGAGCAAATCAAATGTAAATCATAAATCATAAATCAATTTATCTCCAGAACATTAACAATCGTCATTTCATTTCAAATTCAATTTCAACAAAAAAAATAATTGCCTAATTTACACAAAATTGAAAAAGTGCTCCCGTTAGTCACAGTCTAAACGCATTTTCAAATAATTCTGTGCGACATTTTCACTTATACTATGCTTAGCTTGGCGACATTTTCACATTTTTCAATCATTTTCACAAAATTGGAAAAGTGCTCCAGTACATAAACAGTCTAAACGCACTTGGGTAAACATTTGCACCAGAGTGGCGCTTAGACTGTGCTTAGCCTGGGTATTTTTTTAAATTTTTTAACCAAAATTACAAAAATATTTTTTGAAAACAAAAATTAGAAACAAATTTTTTTTTCCAAAAGCAATTATTTTGTTGAAACAAGCAGAAAGTTCTTTGAATCATTTAAATCGGACGCTTAGTTCTCTCAAAAACTGCCATTGTTTAAACATTTAGCTCTGTATCTCCGAAACTGCTGGGCCTACCTTTGCCAAAAACTAATAACCACTTTTCCCCGTCATTACGAATTGAATGTTTTTTAGATCATACAAATCGGATGATTCGTTCTCTCAAAAACTTAGCTATGAACCTTGCGGAGCCCGAGACCTTTCCAACGAATGCAAAATTGTCGAAATCGATACGTGCGTTCTGGAGTTATTCGTCAGGAAGGAAATCCCGACTTATTTATATATATATATATGTAGACTAACCTTTGATCATCATCCTTCGAATGAACACTTTCCACCAGCAACCAGTTTTTAAATACAGTCGGTTTGTTGTCAATGAGTCCTTCACCCATTCCTCGAGAATCATCGTACAAAGTTCTTCGATCCAACATTACTTCCAAATAACCTGGTTCCAAACTTGCTGCACCCTGTTGAAAAAAAAATAAAACATTTAAACAACATATTTAAAAAATTTCTATCTATTTTACTCACTTGTGCATGATCAGTTATCAAAGTCACTCTGGTTTTTGCATCCTGAATGAAAGCCATACTTGTTATCGGGTAATAGTTGCCTTCAGGACCAATTGCTGGTACTAAAGTCCTTTTATGGTATTGGAAAGAATTGGAATCAGTGTAGAACACTGGTGTGTCACCATTGTCGATATTTGTTTGTAATCTGAAATCAAAATTTACAATCTTAGTACCTGCATAAGTTTTTTATGATGTTTTATCTTTTACCTAAGGAACAGTTCAGTTTCCCTGTATTTAGGAGGTTCTCCAAAGTCGACCAAGGTTTCTAAGTATACAGCACGCATTAATTCACTATTTTTGGAAGGATGGTAATCGTTTTTGAAATTGTATATTCTTGTTGTGTGTGATATGAATCCGTTGTACAAGGCTGTTAGTTCGCTTGATATTTGACCACTTATTATCATTAGACCAGGAGAGAGGCTAGAATAGTAAAATTTTATATATTTTAGCTCCTTGTTTTATATAATACTAGATGACCCGACAGACGTTGTCCTGTGCATATGTATACAATTTTTTAATACAATATACTAATATTTACAGTTTACCTAAAAATAATAATTATTGTTTTTTAAGTTACTCTTTACGCCAAAATGCAAATACATTTATAGTATGAACGATGTTAAATGTAGAACTGCTTTAAATATAATGTTGAGTCTCAATTCTCACACTCTAATATTGGAAATTGAAGTCTTTTAAACGATATAACAACCATAACCATAACATATAACTGGTACTTCATGTTGAATTAAATTAATTAAATTTTTGATTATTTAAGATATCCAAAATTGCATCTTAAACTTCTGCTAATCGATATCGTGAGGGCCGAATTGTATGTATTCATCTTAACTTTCCCATTTGTTGTTATAAAAAGAAAATTTTACGAATTTTAAAAATATTGTGGAAATATTAGTAAAAGATGCAAAGAAATTATATATTCAAAAAGAAACTATATTGAAAATTTAATATCCAAATCTTGTGTTGGCGCCCCTAAGGCGTGCGCTCGTATTTTTCGCATGCATCGCATTAAAGGTAGGACCGACCCTGATTAATACTTAATTTCATATTTTAAGTGAATTAATTTGCCATATTCTGTTCAATATGTAATTATTCAATCTGCCATATATATACTGTATTTTATATTATTTTAATTTCTGGCACATCTCAGCTGCTTTCTGGCAATAATAATGTATACATTTTATTCTTCTTATTCATAATCATAAATTTATTATACATATTCTAATATTATCTAGGTTCATAAGTAAATTGAAATTTTTGGCAGATGACAGTTTTCATTCGTTTTCAATTCAAACAATGACACGTCGTTTTTCGAATTTTTTCCATTAATTTGTACATAATTTCACATACATCCCAGTACTTTATAACAACAAACATCTTGGAAAATTTCTCTAACAAACTTTAGAAAGATTTATCAAAATCCGAATAATCGTTTAGGAAGAGTATACAGTTAGTGCTTGTGATTTAATACGAAATTCGTATAATAGCAATAAAGCTCAAATTGATTCTACGCTTTAGTTAGAAAACGTTGTATGTGAAAAAGAAAAGGGCCGTTTTTAGGGTTTTCCCGGAAATTATTCGATTTTTTTCGTCGTAAGAACCATCCTTGGACTTGAACGAACATTTTAAAAAAAGAATTGGCCAAATTGGTTCAGGCGTTGTTGAGTTATGCGCTTACCAACACATTTTGCGATTCATTTTTATATATAAGAATAAGATATAACAAGTAGAATTTGTTTTACCCTTTCAAAATATCCCTTTCCGGTTCCAAAGTGTTCGGATCAGGTTTAAACAAGTAGGCACCAGAGTGGAACTGGGCGCTGACATAAGCTCCGAATTTTACATTGCACATAACATTCCTAGTCGTATATTTCTTTGAAGCCCCATCAGCATTGTCCTTGTTCTTCAAAAAACTTTTATGCGTTATAGTCTTCAAAAATCCACTTCTACCATCGAACAAAAGTCTCAAATCTCTGTTTTCTAATTGGACATCACCCGGTTGCATTGGTTTAAATTGGAACTTCGACTTTCTACCATCGTCTTGTTTGGTAAAAGATTTCTTTTCAAATAAATTGGTACCATCTCGCAAACTTTCTACTTTCACGTTGTGTACGTTAAAACTTTGAATCATTTCATCAGGAGTTCCTTGATGGAAATTGTGTTTGTCTGATTTTCCAAAACATTTGTCGCAGTAGATAGTCGCAAAGTTTTTGGGATCTTCTTGCTTGGTGGTGATTATGGAGTATGTAGATAAACTTAAAGGTGGTAGGCGGACTATGAAGGATATTTCAAATTCTTTATCGGATATTGTCCATTGTGGTAGAGTCGTAGATGTGTTCCAGACAGGACTGATTTGTATGCGCACCTGATAAAAAATAATATTGTCAACTAGAGTTGGGGTAATGGATTGGGGATGGAAATTACCTCATTGTTCTGGTCGTCAAGAATTGCTATTTTGGTATCATTCACGCGTATTATGACGACTTCAGAACGTTCTTGTGGAAGCGAGTTGAACATCACGATTTGTCTCTTTTCTCTCGACATCGATATAGGAACCTGAAAACACGCAAAATTGTCACAACTCCAACATCCGACACCAATATAATTTGTACACAAACCTTTCTATCCAATTTGTCATAACTCTCCTTCTCGATATCCTTCAAAATAAAACCTTTCAAATCGTCTTTGTCTTTTTCCTTGTGTTCAACAAGTAAACTCTCGATGGAGTCTTCTTGTATCTTATTGGCAATTTGCAAAGCTTCAAACAGTTTCAATCCATAGTCTCTCATGACAGCATGTTTGGAAGTTCCAGTAATGGCATCATGGTGCTGGAATAATGCCAAATGCCTTCTGGCACGAGTCAGACTGTCGTAGTGTTTTTCAAGGATTCTCAAATGCGAAGAGTATTTCTGGGTTTAACTCCTGGTTTGCTATTCGGATGCTGGGATAGTTGACGTGCCCTATTGGTGGCTATTGTGTATAAAATCTCAGCATTCCTGGATAAAAATCATTGTCACGCAATGTGCTAAAGAGTAAAAATTTTTTATCCCACTTACCTTAAGTTATGTTCAACAGTTCTGTCCAGTATCTTCAAATATGGTCTGGTAGTAAAGTATCCTGACCAATAAGCAGGTCGACCTTCAGTGAATATATCTGAATACACAAAGAAATCTCCGGCAACTGTCGGAAACCGTTGTTGAGCCTCTGATGTTCGTTTTTCGATTGCTTCAAAATAATTTCGAGGAGTACCGAAGGATATTTCAGTTCCATATCGTTTGCTGTTTTCATTTATGAAGTCGACTAGAAGTTTGTAGTTTGTGTATTGCTGGTCGAATTCGACTTCGTGATTATATCTGGAGACATAGAATATTGAAACATATTTTATTATTGAAAATATGTAATTGTTGTTACCTGAAGTCATCTCCAATTGGTACAAGTGCCACGTTATGAGGAAACAGACTAGCAGCCTTCGAGTATTGCTCCAATAACAATTCTGCCTTTTCTCGTAAATTATTTTTGTCAATAAATTGTGCTTTGATGGAGTACTCAGTGTATTCACCTGTTAAAACATAAGTTACAAATGTAATCTTTAGGCTCTTACTATTATTATTAACTTCCCGAAGGAGAAGTTTATGTTTCATCAAAAGATCCGATTCGCTAATTTTAAGTTTTCTCGACGTTTCAAGCCATTCTGAATCGAATGAGACCGAATTTGGAAAAAGTATGTATGTGTGTGTGTGAACAGATTTTTTGTTGTAAATCGACGTTTTCTCAAAAAACGGCTGGACTGATTTCAAAAATTTAAAAGCCATTCGATGTATTATCGTGAGAAAAAAAAATGAAAAAGTGAGAAAATTTTCGTCCAGGTTTTAGCCCGTAATTCTGAATTGATTGTGAAAATTCAAAAACCGTTCGAAAGATATTGGTTGGGAATCGTGCTGATTATTTTTAGTAGAGATCGGCTTGATCGTTTTCTTGTAATAAAGTGTTAAATAAAATGTTTTCGGCTATTTTTTATTATTTTTTTGACGGTAGATACCATAGTCTTCTAGATCATACTAAAATTTTACGGCCCCCACAACTCGTTTAGCTTTGAAAATTCATTAAAGTTTGCAAATTTGGTATGGCTATTTTGGCATTTGTCAAAATTATACATTTGATCGACGCTTTCTCAAAAACGCCTGAACCGATTTCAGAATTTAAAAGCCATTTTGATGTATCTCAATGAGGACTATCGTTTATCAGTTTTGTGCGACGATGTGCCAAGCCGTTTCTTTTCTTGTAATTTGCAAAAAAGTGTTAAATTTTTCGTCCACATTTAAGCTCATACTACCGAATCGATTTTAAAAATTCGATAACTGTTCGAAAGATATTAGTTGGGAATGATACTGATTAGTTTTAGATGAAAATCTACCGAGCCATTTTCTTGTAATTCGTTGTTGAAAAAAAATTTGAGCCGATTTTTACGGAACTTTTTTTGGCGATATATATCATGGTCTTATAAGAGTTACTGAAATATTGCGGCCTTACGACATAATTTAATTTAAAAATTCATCAAAGTTTGATAAAATGAGTAGTTTTTTTGACGTTTGTTAAAATTAAAGTTAGACGATTTACTTGGTATAAAGATAGAGTACTTAGTTTTAATAAACAAACTAAATTATTAAAGTCCTACTGGTTCAATTATAAAAATTCTTAATTTTGAAAATTTGCTTTTAGAAATACCCAGGGTTAACGTGTTCGTTCGTTTTCAATTGTGTATAACAAATCCACTCGGAATACTTTTAATCACTCATAAACTAATTTCTATTTTATTGATGAAGTCGATTATTTACACATATCGGGAAGTTCATGTAACTTGCCTCAAAGCAAAATACCAATACCAACTAGTTTAAATTTCTCATATATTACCTCCAATTTTCCTAAAATCAAAGTTCAAGCATGTGTATGGATGAGGTCCACAGGAATGTTTGATCGAATAAATATCAAAAGGCATATTGTGAGTTAACATTGCACTTTTTGGTTGCCTTACTTTATTCACTGATTTTTTAACTCTAGCTTCAACAATATCACCATTACTATTATTTGTTGAACGTTTTGATCGTTTCAAAGATGTATCTTCAGGAAGATTATTGATGGTGTCTGCATTGACTGCATTTGCAGAATTTTCTTGAGATTTGACCTCAATATCATCTTGATCGGTGTCTCTTTCCAATCTTATCTCATAATTAACTTCAGTATCTGATCTCAATTGACCGTCCTTTGACACATAAGCATATTGTATACTTTCTTGCATCAGTTCTTCACCACTATCATCTTCATATTTTTTGGAATGAGAGTTTCTTTTATTAACTTTATGATAAGAATTAGATTCTGAGTCATCATCTTTATCTCTGCGTAGTCTGTAAATGTTTTGAGATTCGTCCAAATTTCTTAGATAGTCATACTGTGCAATCATTTCGGCTTTATCAACATCAGATCGGTCATCAAATATGTTATCTGCTCGTTCAGATCTAAAATTGCTGTCGATTTTACCATTGTATACACCATTTAGGTAATGGAGTTTGGGGTTCTCTGGGGAATCTTTTAAGTTCTGTGCAGGTTCTTCAACATCCCGCTTGGTTCTACGCAAAACATCAGTCTCATCAGATTCATCATGATTCACCACATCCAACATATCATCATTTATTGATTTAGTTCGACGATTTAACTTAGGACCTTCGCCAATTTGTATAGGGCCTTCGTGAACAATTCGTTCCACTTTATAATTACGACTGACTGGTTTTTTTTCTTGCGTGGAAACATCTCTTCTGGTTCTATCCGAATCTTTGCCAGTAACTTCCCATCCAGGAACCCACATAAAATCTCCAAATCTCTTCCAAGCAAACCATTGCTTCCAAGCGTAATGAATTCTCTGAATTATGGTACCTTGGAAACCAGAATTGCTCAAAATGTAGGGAAATGTACTGCCGTGCCCAAAAGGATCGATTGACCAGCCTGTTGTTGGTGTAATATTCAGGTTGAGTTTTAACCATTGGTGACCTGGAGAAGGAAATAAGTTAGGAATTGCTGGATATAAATATGTTTTGTTGTATTATTTACTGACCTTCTACAAGTTGGTTCCACATTGCAAACAAGTGCACGTTGGCTTCGTCAGTCATAACCCAACCGCCGGTTGTTATTTCTATTCTTCCAGCTTGGACAAACTTTTTAAACGCCTAAAACAACAACCAATTAGTTGAACGAATAATAAAAAAAATATCTATCTTCTTACCTTTTGTTTCGTGGGATGCACTTGATCCCACCAAGCTTGCAAAAAACTGATCTCCGACCAGATAAACGTTAAATTGTCATGCTGCCTCATCTTGTTGACCAAGTGGTTCAGAATATTTCTAGTTTCTGATTCAAAATAGTGTTCGAAAGTCTTTAACCATCCTGGATCGTTGTGGGAATGAGGCACCAGGATCACCTAAAGTAAAAATTAATAAAATATTTTTTTTTTTTTGTGATAGTTTTATTTAGCAATCAGAAAATTACATTTTTCTATAAGCTAAATAATAAAATAAATGATTGCAGTTGTCTTGTGAGTGTATTTCACCAAGTAAATGTAATCGGGACAGTGATAGCAATTGTTTTTTATGGGTCTGTTCTACCAAGTAGAACATAATCAGGAGTATGATAATACTTGTTTATATGGGGTCTATTTTAACAAGTAAAATATGATCCGGACAATGATAGTAGTTGTCTTTTGTAGGTCTGCTGGGACAATGATTGCAGTTGATTTTATGGGTCTGTTGTAACAAAAAAACATAATCATCAATGATAGTAAAGTAAAATATAATCAGGACTAGGGACTGCAATACAAAAATTTATATTTAAATTCCATAACTGCATACACAGCTATATATTTAAGCAATTCTATAGGATAAAAAAATGTCATAATATTATCTCAACTATTCATTAAATTGAACATTTATTGCTTTCCAAAGGGCCTCATATCGTGTTACAATAAATAGATTCGGCTGATAGATAATGATGTTTATTTCATCTTATGTAAAAATGTAACGGTTTGTAAAGTGTCATCTGCGCCAAAGATTGCGTAATTTTTATTTTTTTGACTTTATGCATATTATTCATAATAATTACCATTCTTTTTTTAAATGTTCGTTGAAGTCCAAGGATGGTTCTTACGGCGAGAAAAATCGAATAATTACCGGGAAAACCCTAAAAACAGCCCTTTTCTTTTTCACATACGAACGTTTTCTAACTGAAACGTAGAATCAATTTGAGCTTTATTGCTATTATATAAAGTTCATATTAAATTACGAGCACTCACTGTATACTCCTCCTTGACGATTATTCGGATTTTGATAAATCTTTTTGAAGTTTGCTAAGGAAATTTTCTAGGATGTATGCGATTATAAAGTACTGGGATGTATGTGCAATATTGTAGAAATAAATGTAAAAAATTGCAAAAAACGATATGTCATTGTTTGCATTGAGAACAAATGAAAACTATCAACTGCAAAAATTTCCATTTACTTATGAAAATTTCATTTTATAATAACAAATGGGATAGGAAAGATGAATACATACAATTCGGCCCTCACGATATCGATTAGGAGAAGTTTAAGATGCAATTTTGGATATCTTAAATAATAAAAAATTAAATTAATTTAATTCAACATAAAGAACCCAGTTTTATGTTATGGTTATGGTTATGTTATACCGTTTAAAATACTTCATTTTCCAATATAGTGAAGAGTAATTTAAAAAACAATAATTATTATTTTTAGGTAAACGGTAAATATTAGTATATTATATTAAAAAATTGTAGACATGATAACAGAACATCTGTCGGGTCATCTACTTTTAAATAAAATTACTCTACAATTATAGTATGTTATTAATTATCTTCTATAAGTTTCAGATCATAAATTAATATATATAAACAATAAATTTAAAGTCTTTAAAATATTGGAAAATATGCTAATTTAACACATCGGATACAGACAATACAGTTTATTATAATAATGTAATATGATCATTGATGAGTTTTTGGTCTTTCTTACTCATACGTTTAATTTTGGTAAAAAGTACTCAATGTACTCGATAACGATGACGAGTTAATTAAATTACCGGTATTTTACCGGTATTCCGGTATTGAAATTTTTTAACGGTATTGCATTCCCTAATCAGTACAATGATAGTGTTTATTTTTTTTCTGGGTCTGTTTTAGCATGTAAAACATAATCAGGGACAATGGTAGTAGTTGTCTTTATGTGTCTATTTTAACCAAGTAAACGGATATTATTTTCATGTAAATTCGATCCTTTGCTCTCTTATTTATTTAAATTTATGTTATTATTTATCAATATCACTAGATGTTAACTATTTAACAGTTGTAATAAACATAGTAATTAAAAAAAATTAACCAAGTAAAACAAGATCAATACAATGATAGTTGTGTATACTTGTTTCTTATTGGTCTGTTCTACCAAGTAAATATAATCAGGACAATGATAGTAGTTGTTTCTTATTTTACCTTAAGGTGTGGTCGGTTTGGATCTTGCTTTATTTTGCTGTATCTCCTTTCAAAGGTGTCGTCCCAATATTCTTTTGTTTTCATCCAAGCCGGTTGGAAGTCAAATTTCTGGTAAACTATAGAAGTATCAACATCGGCCTGGCTTTGGACCATCACCATGTCGTTTGGACATGTGTCGTATGATGATTGGTTGAAGTGGTATGAGGAAACGCTGGAATAAATTGAAAAATCATAAATTAAATCATAAAATTCATGATTTTTGGAATTTTTTAAAATCAAAATAGGTTTAACACTATTCCTACCGACATTTCATGTTTACTATTCCTACCGCAACCGGTCAAGTGACCGGTCATGCAATATCTATATTTTTCAGTATTTAATAAAGAGTTAATGCTAGTTTAAGAGTTTATAAATATAAATACAAAATATTTCTTTTTTTCTAGAATGCGAAATCTACATTTTATTCTGTTTTATCCAATTTTTTACGTTTTTTTTCTTAGAGTGTATTTTCTGCACACGTCCTATCATATTTCTAAAACATTATCTGGAATATTTTCTTTAGGGAATCTGTTTTGTACTTGTACTTAGTTGATTTTTTTCTGAATTCTTGTTGGAACTATACGGCAAATTAATTGGAATAGAAAGTTCCTGCCTTGTACATCGTCTTCCCATAATTTTTTTATGTGAAAACGATAGATTTATCCTGAATAAATACAAAATAATGTAAATCCTTTATAAATTCTCTCTAAAATTCATATTTTACGAAATGATTTCTGATGATTTTATGAATGACATCTACACCAAACACGACGCTAATACCAATTGAATTGACTCTAGTATTAGTATAATTTTTTCAACATATATGTGTATGTAGGTAAAAATTAGAATCTTCTTTTTTAGCTTTCAAAATTGTAAATATTATTTGAGTGAAGTCCTTGATTTTTACTTCTACCTGTGCTTGTAGCTGTTATATTGCTTCAATTGTATCACAGTTTAGTTTTGCTAACTGTTTAGGTATAAGTAAAATGGTATAAACGTTTAAATTTTTTACATCGTACTAGCGATTTTGATAATACGTACATATAATATAAATCTTCAAAGAAATTCTCAGTTTTCTACGTATCCAGTATATGATGGTTATCAAAATTTTACACCCCATTTGTGCGATTTGCTTGGCATAATTATATTTACATCGTATATTGAACAGTTACTAAAATTTTATACTACGTTTTCCTAAATATTATTGAACATGTGTTGAATAAATTTACACCTTACCTTCATTGAAAACATATGTTTGTCGATAGTAATACGTGGTCTTTTACAACAATTTTGATTGCTGTCAAAGTAGTTGAACCAACCTTTGGATTCAAAACAAAACCTATGAATTTGTTGTTTGGATTCCTTCGTAAAAATCTGTCTACACATAGACATTGAGCAAAAATGAGAAAACCCACTTTGTTTACCGTAGAAGTGCAATATTATACTCCTTGCCTCATATGCGCAGCGTGCATACAGAATTGGAAAAAATGCATATAAATTTGCAGAAGGCAGGTTTTACCACTCTAAATTCTTCTGTATTTACATTTTCTTGTTTCGATCATATTCTTAACAATTACTACAAAAAATACCGTCCGATCATCGTCTCTCGTACTACCGGTCAAATGACCGGTCGCAATAGGTAAGACAGTATACAATTTTTCCAAAACTAAAAATTGAAAAAGCAAATTTACATTGAAAAATGTATCATACTCACACATTAAGAAAAGTCATAAAGTTTGATGACGATTACGTTTAATATGAAAAATACTAATCGAAAAATCAAAAACGGTCATTTGACCGGTCCCGGTAGAAATAGTGTTAAAAAATGTTGCAGTGTAGAACCTCAAACCTTAATAAAGATCTTTTAAATCTTACCTCTTATCATCCCAGTACTTGGCCTGTGCCCCATCCTTCGTCTGGAGCCTCAGAGGCTCCTTGTCGCCTCCGCTGGGCCCCAAGGGGGCCTCCGTCTGGTTCGCAAGACTTATATAGTAGAGACAGACGAGGGCGCTCAATAAAATTGCACCTACGGCTAGACATTTGGTAGAACCACGTCGATGAGATTTTAATAACATTGTATTTGAAAAAGGGATAAATTTGTGAAGGAAATTTTATCTTATAATAATTGATGATCAATCATTCCTGGTTGATAATATAAATTTGATGCAAATTTAGTCGATGCACTGAGATTTATATTTTAAGTCTTCACAGGTCGTCACACATTATATTAATTTAATATAACTTTTTAGGCTACTCTAAAAATCATTATTTAGTAAGCTTGATATTTTTTAGCTGCACTTAATTAATAAGATTTTTTTTTAAAATGAAATTATTATTTAGTCACATTTTCCAAAAAAAATCTTCAAAAACTCACTTGTTCATTAAATATCTTTAAGCTGCTCAAAAATCCTAAACATTGATATTTTAACAAATACCAAACATCATGTTTTTCAACGCACTTAATTTTTTAACAATATTTATTAACCTTTAGCACTTTTTAATTTAAATTAAATCCACACAGTAATTATTGTTCAAAAATTATTATTTTGTGCAGTGCACTTATCAAATAAAAAACTATTTTTACTTGAAATCACACTTTTAAAAGAAACAAATACTAAAGTTGTTTTCTTATTGTTTTTAGAAAAATTGCACTTTTTTCATAAAATTCTTCAGTTACTATATAATTTAGTTCAGTTATTATTTAGTTATATCACAAACTATTACATAACTAAATCCGTAATTAATTTTTTAAGTAATTTTTTACTCACTGTGTATTGCTAATTTTAAATTGTTTCTATGTTTAATTCCCATAATAATAATTTTACATAAAAACTAGTATAATTTATTTAAAAAAATATATACGTTTTTATAAAAATAAATACTTATGAAAATAATTTTAAATGTTCATTTTAAATGACAAATAAAAATGACATTAGGTCAAAGTTAAAAAAATGACACATGGTTTAAAAAAATATTTGTTTATGTAATATTTAGAAAACACTGTCTTTAATATCAGATTTTGAAAATTTTATGTAATTTTAGGTAATAATATTTAGTTACAATAATGTTTAATATTAATTAGTTAAAAAATTTCATCAATATCGATCCTGGCGCTTTTTTTAGCATTTCCTTTATTATTTAATTAATATATTTATAAAGAATAATTATTCTTAACTTTTTTAGTATATTCAGAATTAATTATGTAGAGAATTTTAATCCAAAGTTATTTTCACATTTCTTGAATGTAAATAC